CGTGGACGCTCCCCAGCCCGTGCACACCCTGCTCCGGCCTCTCACCAGGCTCCCCACAGCCGTGTTTTCCTCTGAGCTTCCATTCCCACCCCCACAACCTGGTCAGGGCAGGCCCAGATGTTCTCTGAGGGCAAATGTGACAGGCCAGAGCAAGAGGGACACAGCAGGGACAGAACATGCTGATCCAGACTGAAGGAGAAAGATTTTAATCGCTGCCCTTCCAGGCTCAGGCTCCAGTTCAGAAAAGAAGTGCTTCTGTGTGGGGACAGGGGCCTCCAGTGGTGAGGCTCCTTGTTGTCCTCATAAGGGCTCCCCTGGACCCAGGCAGCCTGGGACTGGGACAGGGAACTCAGGGGCTACAGGATATCAGGACTCCTGGGTGATGGGGTCATGTGACTTCATACAGCTCTGCAGGTGTTTAAGTACCTACTTTGTCCTCCAATCCCTGGGGTCTGAACAGACGGTCCTGCCCCAAACAGTGACAAGCCTGTGGGAGGGAGAAAACAGCCAGGGGCCATAAGGGTGGGACGGGCCTTCCCGAGCCCTGGGACCAGCCCCACCCTGCACTGACCAGAGGAGCCTGAGGCCCAGAGAGGCCCAAGGTCACACAGGACATTGGTGGCAGATCTGGGACATCAGGTTCTGTCCTCAGTGATTTTTGATCCTCCTGGAGTCCCTGCCGTGGTCCTGCCACAGCAGAGAAACTGGACCGTGCGGGATGCCGGGGCCGAAGGACTTCCTGTGCTCCCTTCCTTGTCTGCCGAGGCCCAGAGGCCTGCAGAGGCTGTCCGTGAGCCGGGAAGGTTGGGGGAGCCCTGGCCTTCTGACGTTTCCTCTGGCCCGGCTGAGGGATCACATCAGGTGCTGATTTGCTGTGGGACTGGGGGGTGTCCCATCCATCCCTGGGCCTCAGTTTCTCCCTAAGTAAACAAAGGGCTTGGACTGGGGCCCTCCAAGGTCTCACAGCATGTGGTCTGGAATTGCCCAGAGGAGCAGGACTGGGTGGTGATGGGGAAGAAGGGTCCTGCTCTCTACTCTCCCCAAGGTGTGTTCTGGGGTCTGCCTCTTCCCGTGCCCAGCTCCCAGGAGGCCCGGGGTGAGGTAGACTTAGACGATGGCCTCCTTGGGACACTGCTGAGGTCCTACACCATGTCACTAGCTTTCTGACAGGAATAGCTCCTTTGAAGTACTCAAGGCAGCACCTCTGGCCGACATTCCCTGAGCCACAGAGAGCAGGAAAAGGCGTCTGTGTGAGGGGGTGGCCAGTGGGGTGTACCACGGGTGCCGCTATGTGTCTGAGTATGCAGGGGTCTGTGGGGTACATTGTGTGTGTCTGTGTCTATGGGAAGGTCTGTACGTACATCTAGTTTATGCCTGTGGGACAGAGATTTGGGGGCTTCCTGCACGCGCGTGTGTCTATGCGTGTGCGTGGCTGTGGGCATCAGATGTGCACACGCTGAAATGACAACCCCCATCGCCATCTCCGGGCAAGGCTCTGGCTGAGCGTTTACCAGCAGCAGGTAATTCAGTCCTCACAACCACACCTGGGAGGCAGGTTCTATCATTACCCCATTTTACAGATGATAGAATAGAGGCCTGGAGATATGAAGACACTTCTCTCAGTTTCCTCATCTTCGTGCAAAAAAAAAAAAATCCCAAACTTGGAAATAGGCAAAACTATGATTGCGTGACTTTTTAAAAATATATATATCACACATTTCCTAAGCATTTACCCCTAACTGTTCTCTGACCCTCCCAGGGATGACATTTGGTGTGACTAACTCTGCAGCACTGATTGGGGCCCAGCCCTTTCGCAGCCCCATGAACTTACAGCAAACCTACCGCAGGCTTTAGGGTGGGACCATGTCATTTGCCCGGTTGAGAAGATAACCCTAAATGATTAGTTTCACGGCCATGCAAGACTAACCCATCTTGTTTCTAAAGCAGCAACCTTATTTTGACTTTCCTTTCTTAACTGAATATATAAATTTCTTTTTAATGCTCTTGGAACCAATTCTCTCATCTTTCTACTTATTCCCTCATTTTA